GGGGCAGAAGCGACGGGGGGAGGACACACGGGCTGCGCGGGGGGGGGGGGGGCTGTGTGAGGAGAAGACGGGAGAAGAGAGAGGGGAAGGAGACTGATGCCTGCGGCCGAGCCTCGGCGTGGTATACCACTGCCCTTTCGGGCAGCTGGTGCAGATCGCGCGACCCGGCTGTCGGCGCTGAGCAGCTCGCCTGCCCAGCTCTGCCAGGGGTGTGTCTCGCCCTGATCGCCCCGGCCAGGGGCGGGGACCATTGGGCCCAGCCTGCCGGCTGGGGCCGTGCACCAGGCCCGACAGGAGGGGACCCACACAACTGGGCAGGGCCGGCCTGGGACGGTGCGACATTCGGGGTGGCGGCGCGATCGCCTCCGGACGCGCCCTCGCCTGCACACACCCCCCCCCCCCCCCCGCCTCTGGCGCCCGGTCGCCGGCCAGCGCCGACCGGCTGGCTGGCGCCGCCCCGCGCGGGGCCCCCCCCCCGTCTCCGACAGATGCCACAATAACACACGGCCGTCCTTCCCATCGGGTTGTCCTCGAAAATCGGCGGCGCGCAACGCACGGGCGTCACGCGACCGGCGGGTCACGCGAACGCGGGCCCAAATTGCCCTCCCGATCGCTCCGTGGCAGCGGGCGCGCGCGCGCGCGCCCCCATTGCTTTTCGGTCCGGCCCTTTTGTGCATCCGCTCCCGGTTCGGCAGTTTCACTGGAGCGCGCGCGGGCAGCTCTGCTGGCCAGGCCCGAGGCGCGTTCCTTCACCCCCGGGCAGGGGCCCCTTCTCTCATTTGGGCCGGGCTCTCCTGCGCGGGCTTTGTCGGGGACCCCGCCATCTGCCGTTGGTCTTCACGCCCCCTCCGCCCCTCCCTCCTTCGCCCTCCCCTTCCTCGGCCCTCGCACATCCCACCCCGCCCTTTCCCCCTCCTTCCCCCATTCGCGCCTCCCTGGGCGTCCGCCGCTGCTCCGGCCTCCGTTGGTTCTCATCTCGCCGCCAGAGGGCCACCGCGGGCGAGGGGGCGTCAGAGCCGGGGGACACCGCTCGGCCGGGTGTCGGTTGTTTGCGAGCATGTCCAGCCAGGTCCCCTTTCGACTTGAGTTTCTCGTCCACCAGCTGGCCAGTGGTTGCGGACTGGAGGCACACGCGGCCGACATATCCGCCGCCCTCCAGTCGGACGCCGCTCCGCCGGCGAGCGATGGGCGCATGGTGCGCCCGGCTCTCTTTTCCGTGGGCCTCCCTCCTGACTTTGAATGTTCCCCACCGAGCATCCGTGACACTGACGGCATCTCCTCCGGACCAGAACACCACCTTCCTCGGCATCCTTCGCCATGTCTTCCGCGGGGGGGATTTTCTTCAGCTGTGCGTGCGCGCTCGGATCTCGCTGCCCATGCATCTTTGCTCTCTTAACCCCCCCCCCCCCCGCATCCCCGTGTGCAGCCACCAGCAGATTGCCGCCTATCTGGGAGAGGACGCCTCGGCCGAGCGGTCGCCACGCACCTTCTCCCTGTATCGATCGGTGGTTGTCTATTTGTCGCGTGTGCGGCCGGAGCTGTTCAGCAGAACGTCCGCCGCCTCTGTGACGAGTTCCGCGTCGGCAGCCCGGAGCCCGGCCAGGCCAGTGCCATCATCTGTCCCGGCGACAAGTGCATCCGCTTCCGCTCGTCGTGATGTCGCGTCCGCCATGGTGTCCACCTCGCGCATGGCGGGCCCGCCGGCCGCGGCCCCCCCGGCCCGAGTGCCAGCCTCCGCTGCTGGCCCGGCTTCCGTGCAAACGGCCGGGTCCTCGGCATCCACATCGAGTCTTCCGGCTGCCCCCGGTCGGTCCTCCGGGCCACCGCGCCCAGTAGCCCTTGACACCGCTCTGCCGCCGACTCGGCCGGCCTCTCCTCCTGGGCCCGCTTGGTGCTTGTTGCCGAAGCCTTGCATGCCGGGGCTGGATGTTGCTCCGCCCGCATGGATGCAGCCCACCTCGCCACACGCCTACATCCCGGCTGTGGCGCAGCAGCACGCACACCCGGGTGGCAAGCTTGCCTCTGCCGCGGCGGCCCCCCTGACCGGGCAGGCCTTCTCCACGCAGGAGCTTCTCATTGTCGAGGATCTGGTACGTGCACATTCCAACGCACACACACACACACACACACTTTCTTTTTTGCTTTTCAATGTTGTATATCAAATTCTGACCCTGCTTGACCTGGCGTGTGTATGTGCGTGAATGTGCGTCGATATGTACATGTGTGTATGCATGCATGCATATACGTGTGTGTGTGTGCGTGTGCCGATGCGTGTCTGGATGCTTGCGTGCAAACATGTATGTGTGAATGTCTGGCCGCATGTGCACGGGCGGCTGCCACAGCTTTTCGTCATGCTCGGGTATGACGGACAATACCTGCGTTGCGCCTATCCCCCGGAGGATCGGCACCCGGCCGGCACGATGGGCTTCGATCCGCTGCGAGCGGTGTCCCATTTCGATCGCGCCTACCTGTCCATCGCGCCTGGCATGGACCCGACTGTACGGCCGACCCTGGATCCGCTCTTCTTCACCTCCGGGGCCCTTGTGCGATTGGGACTTCTAACAGCCTCTTCCCTTGCCCTTGCCTTGGTAGATTGCCGGCCTGCTTGGCCGGGCCCTGCCGCTGGTGTCCTCGCACCGGGCGCTGGTGGCATTCATCGAGTCGCAGTGGATGCCGCGGCATTCGGCGGGCTCTCGGACAGCCGCCGTGGCCGCCTTCTCCCCGGTGGAACGAGCCCTGGCGCGCGCGCTGCAGCACATCCTCGGCGAATATCACCGGCTGGTATCGCAGCTGGACCAGGCCTTTCGCACCGGGCGCCTGAGCAGTGCCCGGTTGGAATACCACCACCGGCGGCTTGCCACGCCGACCGGGGCCGATGGCCTGTCCTCGGGTGGGCTTTTCGAATTGACCTTCCCGGAGGTGGCTCTGCCAGCGGAGGTGGCAGCGGCGTCCGGCCAGTCGGCCGGCCTGTCGTCCTTGATCCTGGCCGTGGAGCCGATCTCCACCGGCTTCCAGGCCGTTGCGCATGCCCTCCGGCGGGTGGTCGGCGCGTTCGGGGTCGCGCGTTCGCCGGCCTGCGGGCACCGTGTTTGTGCCCTCTCCGATGGCCGGCGCATTTCCCAATTCTGGGAGTGGTCGGAATCCTGCCGCGGGCACGTCCTCCCCCTCTGTGGCCAGCAAGCCGCGGCCTGTCTCTTTTTTTCTCTCGGCTCCCCCTCTGACCCTCTGCCACAGCGATCAGCCCCTCTACTCCCTGTCGCAGCACCTGGTCCGGGCCATGAGCCAGCCCTACTTGCGAGCGGTGGACACCTGGATGGCGGAGGGCCGCCTGCCCGAGCATTTGGTGGGCTTCTGTGTCCGGATGGCCTCTCGCGAGGAGGTGCGCCCCCCTCGTCCCCCGCCCCGGGCATGCCCGCGTTCCTCGCCCCCTCTCGGCTTCGCTTCTTGTTCTCTCTCTCTCTCTCTCTCCCCCCCCCCCCCGCATGGCTCTCCAACGCTGACCCTCACACCTGGCCACCTAGATCCGCCGCGCTGCTCCCCTCAAAAGCCACCCCGATGACTACTGGTCCTATCGATACTACCTGCCCCTGGTGGAGGAGCCGGAGGCCGGGACCCCGGTTTCCGAGCACCAACTCCGTGTTGTCACCCTGCCGCGGTATTTGCACGCGGTCGACCTGCCGCCCTTCCTGGCTCCGTACGCCCAGCTGGTTCTGGACGCCGGACGGTATGTCAACATCCTGCGGTATTGTCGTCAGGCGTCCGGGCGTTCGGTGGGCGGCCCTGGGCATCAGGGCTTCCCGGCCCTGGGGGGCGATATGGTACGTCGAGCGGCTGGGAGCCCATGGACCATTGGCGGTTTGCACAGGGAGCTGCCCTTGCCCTGACCCTCGCCCCCTGTCCGGGCTCGCCGGTTTGCCCGTAGCTGCCCTTCTCGGCCGACCCGGCGGCCTACTCGCGGCACATTGGCGCGGCACATGGCCATGCGTCGGCCGCGTTGTTGGATCTGCTGAGGGCGGCGCCGGTGCTGCCCTCGGCCATGGGCCCGGCCGCCCCGCTGTCGGGCATCGACCTGCACTTGACCAATGCCTCGCGTCTCTTTCTCGGGGTCGCCGGCGCCGGGGGCGACATGCTGATCGACTCCTTCCTGGACCAGCTGGAGCAGTTGCAGGACCATTGGCGCGCGGAGGCCCTGCGCGGCCTGTGGCTCGGCTTCCAGGGCCCTGGCGTTGCGGGGGACCCGCGCCACCCGGCCGTCCAGCGGGCCTTCGACCAGGCCGTGGCCACCGGGCGGGTTCTGCTCAATCCCGGGGCTCTGGATGCCGGTCGGGATCGGCTGGACTGGACGTCCGGCGAGTGGCTGGGCTCCGATGGCTCGCCCCCCTCGCTGGTGCGTGTCAGCTACGCCGAGCACCCGGTGCTGCTGCACCTGCTGCAGGTCCTGGGCGAGCACAAGGCCATGGCGTCGCAGCGCCGGGGCCCGGGGCCGACCTCCACCCTGGCCGGCCATGATGGTGCTCGGCCTGGCTCGTCGGCTGGGGCCGGCTGGCGCCGGGCCCCGGAGCACATGCTGGAGCTGGAGCGCCAGCGGCTGATCAGTGTCTCGCTGCAAGTTCCCTGGCCCTTCTCGTTGGTGCTTCCCCAACGGTCGCGCATCAAGCTGGACCTGATCTTCCGCTGGCGATTGGCCCTGGCACATGCGGAGCGTGCGCTGGCTCGGGCGGTGCTTCAGCGGGCGCTCGTGGCCCGGCGCGACCGCCGGCGCTCGCGCTGGGCAGCCATCCACCCGGCAAGCTCCTCGCACCTGCCGGCCGCCCAGCAATCGCACTCCTTCCTTCACATTCGCCAGCTGGACCGACAAATTGGCTCGCTCGCCAGCTGGATGGCACACGTGGTCCGGTGCCTTCGGGCGCACACGGCCGCCGAAATCCTCGGCCAGCTGTGGGCCGACTTCGAGCAGTATTATCGATCGGTGCGCGCCTCCTCCCCCCCCCCCCCCTTCCTTCCTTTCTCCTCGCCGCATGTGGGCCGGGGTCCAGCTCCCCGTGCGCCGCTGGCTTCTTCCTCATCGCCGCCCCCTGTGCCCGGCGCTCCGCCATTGGCCCTGTCCTGGCGTGGTACCTCCCCACCTGTCTGACCTTCCGGTTGTCTCTGGCCAATGGCCCTGACAGGTCCGCACCCTGGACGAGTTGGTCTTCCGCCATAATGCCTTCCTTGACAGCTGCCTCCGAGAGCTGATGCTCTCGGATAGCAAACTCATTCAGGTACGACCGAGCGCCAGGGCCCGGGGGCCCCTTGTGCCTCGCCCTTCTTTTGCCTCTCCCTTTCGGGACCTCTCTTGCTTGATGTGCCCCCCCCCCCTCCCCTCCGCCCGTGTTTGCCTGCTCACGCGTGCATGCGACCAGATCACGCACAATCTTCTTTCGATTGTGGAAGTATTTTGCGACTACCTGGAACGCCTGCCGGCCAGCGAGCGTCATGATCCACGAACCGAACGTCCTGCCGGGGGTGGTCCTCCCCCGCCCGGGACAGCCGGGCCGCTGACCGAGTACACCCGGCACCCGGGTGCCCTGGGGTCCGCGGCCCCGACAGCTGCGACCCCGGCGCTGACGCCCAGCCGCGCCCGGCTGGCGCTCGAGTCCATCGAGAGCATCCGCAAAGCCTTCGACAAGACCATGGCCACCCTGGTGCATGTGCTGGTGGCACGCGCGGCTCAGGATGGCCTGCGGTCCTGGAAGGACCTGGCCGAGTCGATCAACTTCCCCCTGCTGGACCGTGGGACGCTCGAGGCCAGGCCGGTGTATGTGTCATCGGCCCGGTCCTAGGGGCGCGTCGCTGTAGAGATAGAAATATATACCCATGCCCACCCATACACAGATGCCTGTTGGCACTTGGCCATCTCCCGGTGGGGGAGGAAAGCTGCCCAGCGGAGGGGATACAAAGGGGGTCTATTGTGGGCGTGTGTGTGGGTGTGGATGTGTGTGCGCGGGCGCGGGCACGAGCAAGCACAGGGATGCGAGGCAGGGGGACACGGAGGGACCATCGCAAGCAGGCATGACCGAGGCAGGGTGGCCGCCTGCCCAGCACGCCGGTCAACGGCGGCCGCCCTTGCGCTTGGTGGACGCCGTGCCGGTCGGGTTCTCGGCGCGGTCGATGATCTCCCGCTCGCTGAGGCGCCGGAAGACATACGTCTTGGCGCCCTTCTTGGTGATCTCCTCGTTCTCGGTGCGGGAGATGCCATCCACGGCGCCGCGCGTGCGCCGGTGCGAGTAGCCCGGATAGTGCTCCGGCAGGAACTCCCGCGCCTCGCGCAGGGTGAAGGCCCCGGTCCGCTGGGCCAGCTTGGTGACGCGCCAGCGGTCGTACGGCTCGCCGCGCTTGATGGTCAGGTGCACCACACCGCCCGGGGACAGCAGGCGCGCGGCCGACATCAGGAAGTCAAAGATCAGGGTCTGGTTGGCCTCGATGTTGCGATCGATGTCGGAGATGCTCAAGCCCACATGGGGGAAGTGGAAGGCAATGACATCGAAGCGGATGCGCCCGGTGGCCGCCGCGCGCGACCGCTCCAGGTAGAGGGCCTCGTTGTCGCTGTCATCATCATCATCATCGTCATCATCATCATCGTCGTCGTCGTCGTCGTCGTCGTCGTCGTCAGCACTGTCGCCATCGTCGCTGTCCTCCTCGGCATCGGCGTCGCTGTCCTCCTCGGCATCGGCGTCGCTGGCGGCCTTGGCCTCCGGGCCTTCGGCCATGGGGTCCTCGCCATCGGCCTCGGGGTCGGCGTCGCTGGCCTCGGACTCGGTCACGTCTTCCTCCAGGTCAGACTCGCTGTACTGCTGCTGCTGCTGGTCCTCATCCTCATCCTCGTCAGTGGACGACTCGTCATGCAGGCGGCCCTTGTCCAGCTCGATCTCGGCCTTGGTCTTCTGGCGCTTGCGCTGGGGCTTGGCCCCCCCGCCGGGGGCGCTGTCATCCTCGGAGGCCGAATCGTCGGCCGCGGTGAAGCCCTCATCGCCGCCGAAGACCACGTCGATGGTGCGCGCGTCGATGCCAAACATGATGGTGCCGTCGGCCGCATCCACGGCCATGGCATTCTTCTCGGCATCGGCGTACTTGGCCGCGCAGGTTTCCTCATCGTCGTAGGTGGTGGCGATCATGCGCGACGCGGAGCCCAGGTTCTGGGCCAGCGCCGCGGCGAAGGAAAAGTTCCCCTCGCCCACCAGCAGGATCCACTGGTGCGGCTGGTAGAGTCCCCGCGGGTTGGCCAGGGCCGCCTTCCGCCGGGCGGACTTGCTCAGCTCAACCGCCTGCTTCGGGGTGGCCGGCAGCTGGGCAGCCGCGGCCACGGCGGCGGCCTTCATGGCCGCCCGGTCCAGCGGCACCAGCGCCGGGGCGTCGGCATCCTCGGCCGCCGGCACGCGAGGCTGGCCGTGCTGCTGGCGCAGGGCGGCCGTGATGTTCTTCGACCGCTGGCGGTCCTGCTTCCGCCGGGCGGTCTGCTGCTTGAGGCTCTTGCTGAGCGCGGCAACGCCAAGCGCCCGGCGCGACCGCAGGGGGTCCACATGGCGCGATTGGTGCTTCTTCTTGGCGGCCATGGTTGTAATGTGTCGATGGAAGTGGGGCGGAGGGTGGGCGCGAGCGTGGGGGGGGGGGGGGAGGGGGGGGGGGGGTATCAGCACCTGGCAACTTGGTCGAAGGCCGGGGCGAGAAAACCATCTCCGGGATCTCTGGGCCGCTGGCCCGTGCCGGGCATCAGTGTAAGTGCATGTGCCCGGCGCACGCGTGCGTGTGGGCGCCCCCCCGCCCCCCGCACTGGGCGCGGCGACCCCGGGACGCGGGACGCCGCATGGCGCTTCGGCCAGGCCCGGCGGGCCTCCGATAGCAGCTGCCAACGATCCGACCTGCCTCGTTGTGGAATGGCCCCCCCCCCCCGTACACACGGCTCTACAGAGGCACGGGCCGACACAGACGCCCCTTGTCCCCCCTCTCCGGGATGTGTGCATCGGCCTCCCGGGCGGAGGGGGGCCTGGATGTTGGTGGGTTGTTTTTATTTTTCCATTATTCGAGGCGGTCTCCCCCCTTTCCGGGCGGCGGTGTCCCGCTGGATGTGTTGCCGCGCGCGACAGGGCAGCCAGGATCGGCGGCACTCGGAGCCCCGTCAGCCGGTCCGATCACGTCGGCGGAGGACAGGCAGTGGTACCAACGGATGCACATTACGATCGGCAGCCTCCAAGCCCCCTGTGTGTGTGTGTGTGTGTGTGTGTATTTCTCTCGGCTCGGGTTGCCGGCGAGGGCGTTCTCGTCCCCGGCGGGCGGACACACGGGGGCACGCGCAGGTCGACCGCCCCCGCAGGGACACACCCACACCCGCGCACAGCCGAGAGGCGGGAGGCGGGAGGGTGGTCATTTCCGGGCCGCGGCCGGCCCTGTCCCCGGTGGCTGGGCCACAGCCGACCGGGCGGGGGTTGGGCTGCCGGCGAGGCCAGCCGCACGGTGCGACGACGCATTGTCACCGACCACCGAGGGGCTGGCCGACAGGGAGCCCACGGTGGCCGGGCGGCTGTGCACCGGAGTGCCAGTGGCCGACCCGGGTGCCGGAGCGGTCCCGACATTGGACATCATCCCGCGGACATCGCTCACGAAGGAGGCGATGCGGCTGCCGACGCCGGCCTGCCGGTGGTGGCGCTCGAGGATGAGGCGGTTCTGCGCGAGGGACACGGAGGCCGCATGACGGGGCACAGTGTGTGGTCAGATTGGGCACCGACAGGAGGGGGACAGGGGGGGGGGGGGAATGCCAAGCACGGGGGAGGGCGAGGGAGATGCCGGGCAAGAGAGCCGGGGCACGAGGAGGCCCCCGGCCACGCACCGTGCCGATGATTTCGTCCAGCACCTCAGACTCTTGGGCCGGATCGAGGAAGGGGAAGAGGTGGATGGCGGCCGAGGCCTTCTCGGCGGTGGCCGAGTGGGTGTAGCTGGGCGTCGGGCCGGCTGTCTGAACGGAGTTGGTGGACAGGCGAACACAGTCGCGCGCGATCTTGGTGAACTCCATCGGGTGGTTGCAAAGCCTGGGCATGGTGGCGGGGGGCACATCTGTAAGCATCTCTCGGCGTCTGTCCGCGGGTGTGTATGCGCGACAATGACGGGCCCGGGGAGGGAGGAGGGCGGGGCGGGGAAAGCCCACCGGGGGTGGCATGTGGCAGGGGCCACGCACTGGTCATGGGCAAACTGGTTGACGCATTGCTCCGGGGCGAGGGCCTTCAAATGGGAGACATTCTCCAACACATAGCGGATGTACAGGACCACATGGTGCAGCCGGTGGCGCGTGGGGTGCCAGTCGTGGAACTGAGCTTGCCGGGGTCAGGATGCACGAAAGGGCCAAGCGGGCGGCGGGGACAGGATGCGCAAAAGGACCAAGCGGGCGGCGGGAACAGGCCCCCGAGTGTGTGTGTGTGTGTGTGTGTGTGTGTGTGCTTGTGAGCACGCACCCGGGCTTCGAGACTCAGATGCCCATTGTTGAGGTCGATAAGCGGGTGGTGGATGGACGGGACGAAGACCACGGCCGGTGCGACCATCGGGTAGTCCGGTGAGAGGATGATGATAAAGCGCAGCACGGCCCCGGAGTACGGGCCGCGGTAGGGGAAGAAGACGCCATGCCACTCTGTCCGCGCGGGGGCAGGCCAGGGGAGGGGGGCGCAGGCGGGCCCGGGGGCGGGGGG